TTCCTTTCATTGGATTGGGATCGGTGACAAGTGATGAACAAATGGCAACAATGATTTATGGGATAAATTTGGTAGAAAATAATGAGCTCATCCAATTCTTTATTTCTAGACTTGGATCGATGAAAGACTGAGATTTGATCCCAACGATTATGAGAATCAAAATTTCCTTTATCTGCCCGCATCTTCAATTTGGACACCTCGTTACACGATTTTTAATGCGTGAGTGTGATTTTGAAAGTCTACTATTTCTATGGCTAATCATTTAGACACTTTTATATGTCGTAGCTGATGAAGGATTTCAGCCGAAAAAATCTCAGACTTCTTCGGCTAGCCGATTAAGTCTCAAAAATGAAATCTTGAGTTATGTATTGACTCAAGTCAATACCACAAACTCAAGCTCTCTAAAAGGCGCTTAAAAGCTAAAAACGCATTCTAGTTGCAGTTGCATTTTGCATTTTTCGACCAAACTATAAAAATAAACAATAATACCAAAAAGCCAACCATTGCTTCGTAAGATGATCGCCCAATGCCCCGGTGATAACGGCTCCAAACGTTCCGAATATTTCCATTAGATGTGCGACAACTACAAATTGTGTTTTCCTTTGCAATGCCCGCAAAACGACAAACTTTGTGAAATGATCCTGGTAGACCATCAAAAACTTGAATTCTTCATCGGAATTGAAGATCGATTAAATCCACCTGGCATCTCTCGTTGAAATCCTTTGTAACAATTGGCTTCACGACTATTCCTTTGTTTGGTGTTCCTTTTTTGAGCTCGCATTCTGGGCACAACTTGACAAAAATTTCGATTACTTCTTTTGGGATCCGATGATAGTCTCGTAGTCCTTGCCACCTTATATCTCGTCCGGCGTGCCCAAGTCGTTGGTGAGTGGTCGTTAACAGGCTAAAGAGCTCCTCTTTCTTGACGACTTTCTTGAGTTTGTCCAAATCGCCTTTGATCCCATGATTGTAAAGCACCTCTTGATTCAATTTGATATCGAAGTCAATTTGATAAGTTGATAATTCAACTCTCTTGATATCGAAGAGAGAATCACATTACAAGTTTTTGTGTTTTTTTCGATGGTTTGAAGTCTTCATTCCGCAATTGTTGGAGAACGGTGACGATTTCCGCGTATTTCTCGCTAGAAAGAATCAAACTTCGCTTTTGATTTGATTGAAAGTGAGAAAACTGCAGGTCGAGTACTTTCTCCATTCCTAAAAAACAAAATTCTGTGTTCGATTATAAACAGATTAGTGGTAAAAAAGTTTTATCGATGATCCAACAAAGGGGTCAAATTGACTTACAAAAACAAACAATTCTATTTCAAATAAATGACGAATCAGATAGAAAATGGCGAAAAGGGCCCTTTCATAGCCTTTGGTTACAGTATGATAAAATGCGCACTCTTTAGAATGCGTTTTTAGCTTTTAAGCGCCTTTTAGAGAGCTTGAGTTTGTGGTATTGACTTGAGTCAATACATAACTCAAGGTTTCATTTTTGAGACTTAATCGGCTAGCCGAAGAAGGTTTCGCTAGCAAAAAAATTTGAGACTTCATCGGCTACGACATATATAAAATATTACCTAATTTCCAGTAGAAATACAAAAATCCTTCAAAACGGTGCTGATGTTGATGCAACGATTACAAAAGATGGAATCGTCACGTTCACGCAGATTTTCTATTCTAAAGTCGATTGTGAGATGAGACTCAAAAGGTTGAACAACTAAAGAAATCGATTCTTTTCCGTTATACATCCGCAAAAATAAACCCCCGATCATTTCCATTATATATCCGCAAAATTTGCATCCTTCCATGAAAATGAACAAGGAAAACCACAGAAAATGAATTCTTTTGCTATTTCCTTGGATTCATGTTTCGCTTACCGACTATCGAGGCCGATGCAATCTCGTTCTTTCAGCAACGCCGTTCTTGCTTACTACTCGCACATGCACCAACCCTCCACGTTATGAAGCTATTACTCAATCAGAATCAGGAGATTTGACAAAACATCGTGCCGGACTGCGATCGGCCTGCGTGTTGGCTCATGGATGGAGGGCACCAAAATTCCGTTTCTCACAATCCTATGATTCATCTATGAATGGACGTAACAGTGGACCTCGATCGACTATTGTGCGAAAGAATTGGAGATGAATCACAACACCGCGCTCGACTTCAACAATAACAAGGGACCACAACAACCGCAAGGGATCTTTGCGTGGAATATCTGGTGAACAAGCCGAGCGGAAAAATTGAAGGACCCAATCGAATCGTCGAGATGGACGAGCCTCTCTTCTCGAAGCGAAAGGCGAATGTGGGCCGCATCTTGCCGCAAGTGTGGATATTTGGAGGAGTTTGCCGAGAAACCAAGGAATGTTTTCTAGTCAAGGTGGTCGACCGCTCGGCCAAGACAGATGGAAGTGATTATCAAATATATCGAGCCGGGAATCCAAATTTACTCCGATTGTTGGTGAGGATACAATGCAAAAGATGGAGGAAGCCGGCTTTACCCACGCTCAAGTCAACCACAAGTAGAGCTTCCTGAATCCGGATGATCCTGCCATTCACACGCAGACGATCGAGCGTCTATAGGGATCTGTCAAATGGAGAAACAAGAAGCATCAAGCAACAAGAACAATAAGCATTCATTTCCTATCTAGCTACTTCACTGAATTTATGGTCAGACAAGAAGTGGGAAAGGACGATTTCAAGAATGGGTTTTGCAACAAATTGCTACGTCATGGATTCACACCCAGACGATCGAGCGTCTATAGAGATCTGTCAAATGGAGAAAGAAGAAGCATCGCGGCACTTCATTTCCTTTCTAGCTACTTCACTGAATTCATGGTTCGACAAGAAGTGGGAAAGGATGATTTCCAAGAATGGGTTTTGCAACAAATTGCTACGTCATGAATTCTACATTGATCTTATTTTAATGTTTATTTTTTGATATTAAATGATCAGGGGTTATTTTCGCGAATATATAACGGAGAATCTCATTTGAGCCAAGGAGAACCAAGAAATCTGATAACCAATTCAGATTCCCATTTGATAAACTCTTTTGTTGGCTTCGTTTAATCAATCTTGATGTGAGAAGAACGATCACGAGATATCAAGGATATAAAAAAGAAGACACTGGAGTCGTGGTAGAATTATCAATCCATTTCCGTTTATCAATCCATTTCATTCACAGGGAAATATCGAGTTTCAATTGCAAACTTATAATGTTTGCAGTGTTAAATCACATATGGAAAATGTGGTAAATGATGTGAGCTTAAGATTTTATCTGCAATTCAACTTTTCTAACTTTTCTAGATCTATTTCTATATGGAACTTCAAAGAAACACATTCTATTATCATTTTGTGATTGTTTTACCGTCAACTCTGGTCACAATGTTAACAATATTGGGTGCATTGTTGCCGAGATCGAATGGGAATCTTGATGATACGGTAAGATGATAGATGATACTTCTGACACACACAAATGGCTTTGGCTTTGGCTTTGGCTTTAGCTTTGGCTTTGGCTTTGGCTTTGGCTTTGGCTTTGGCTTTGGCTTTAGCTTCGAGATTCTCTCCTTCGTTCACGTGTCCAACTGTTTCCTTGCATCTATAATAAAAACATTATAAATTATAAAGAAATAGGCAAGAAAAAGAAATAAGCAAGAATTCGGCAATTCCAAGTGAACTTTAGATCCACGTCGGCATGGCTGCTCTTTTAGCCCTTTCCATCACATTCACCGTCATTGCAGACAGCATTCCAAGGACGAATATTCTGCCATTAATCGGTAAAATTCAAGCCATGGCATTTCTCAACAACTTTAACAACAATTACAGGCTGGTTTGTGATCGTTTGCTTAGTTCTTTGTCTTTTCTCCGTTTCTCTTGGACTTCTCTTTTCTCGAATGAAGCAATCAGTAAAAAGAAGAGGAAATTTGTCATTTCCATTTTGGCCAGCTGAATGGAAGAGAGAATCAGGTTTTGGATTCAAGAAAGGATCAAGATCATGGAATAGTTTGATCTCAAGGTGAGTTTATGGAGTAAAGAAAATGATAAAGTAATGGTAAAGTGAGCCTAAATTGTGTCAATCATAAAAGGATTAGAAGCTAGCCTGAATCTCATGATGTAATCTCCAGATTCTTCCAGCTTCAAGCAATCTTCAAGCTTTAAATAGATATAATGGCTGTTTTCGTAAAGAATCTTTCATTTCTAGATGTTCATTCATTTCTTTCATCATTCTTCAAGTGATGATGTTGATCAATTTAATCGTTTTCTTCTCATTTTCATGGAATCGAGACACATTTTCGTTTCTTTCAACGTTTTCTGAAGGTTATGATGTTGTTTAGAAGTTGAAGAATGCTTTAAAAATGCTTAAAAGATGTTTAAAATACACAAAACTCTATAAGAATGTCAAAACATTTGCAGTTGATCTGATAAAAGAATTGCTCGTGTTTTGTTTTGAAAATTTGCACTATCAGAGTCAGAAGTCAGAGTCAAATCAGAGTCGAATCAGAGTCAAATTAGAGTCAAATTAGAGTCAAATCAGAGTCAATACAATCAATCAAAGTCAGAACTCACCTCACAATCTTCAAATGCAAAATATCCATTCAATTTTTGGAACTATTTCTTTGTTTACGCAAACGTTTTCTCTAATTCTCTCTCTCTTCTTTCCATGATCTTTGCTCATTTCTTGCGAAACCGCTTTCTTTTCTCTTATCTACCCCAATTTGACTTGTTATCTTTCGCATTTCATCACGAACTTTCACTATTTAAACTTTCACTAGCCAATTAATTGAAGATCTTTCTTTAATCTAATGAATATTAAAGCTGTAACTTGAAAAGAAAGCCTGGAAAGTACTTTGTGCTCTCGTAAATGCTCACCTTATGGCATACAAGCTTACAATCAGCATGTTTTCTTTGTTGTTTTTTGTTGCTTACAATCAGCATGTTTTTATCTTAGCTTTCTCAGTCCTTGTCTCTTTCAATTCCCCATTTTCTAGATCAAAATGATTCCACTTCTCCTTGGATCATTGCTAACAATTGCAATTGTTGGATATATCTATTACGCGTATCAGAAAGTGAGCTATTGGGAAAGGAAAGGTATCCCATCAATCAAAGCTCCAATATTCACTGGTTCACTCACTGCCATCGCTGATCCAAAAGTCCCATGGAGTGCCTCGTTAAGAAAATATACAAAAGTGAGTTGAAATGGTTAAGATTAAATCTAACTGTACTTGTTTCCAGAAATTCGGCAATGTTTGGGGTTATCAAGAGGGAGTGAGAAGCGTTTTGGTGGTGGCCGATCCGAAAAAAGCTCATGAATTGTTTGTGACTCGATTTGAGGAGTTTCAAAAGCAAAAGGCAAGCAAGGCTTAGACTTAGATCTCATTGATTTTAACTCTTGGTTACTAAACAATTCCTTTCAGCGTTTTCCTCTAATCGAAACGAGTGCTGAAGATCCATCTGCTCATCTCGGAATGACATGGGGTCCAAGATGGAAAAGATTGAGATCTATTGTTGCTCCACAATTCTCAAATCAGAGTCTCAAGAAAGTGAGATTATTAGGCCTCAGATATTAGGCTTCAGTTTAGATCTAGATTATTTTAGATTCTCCCAACAATTCGAGATTCTGCTAATCATTTGGTTGATCATATAAGCAAGAATGGAGAGGGGAAAGGATTCGAGATTCAGAGGTAAAAAAAGATTACCGGATTTTCTCTCTCTTTTTCTAATAGTAGTGCACCCTGAGCGTCGCCTAAATTGCTCAAAATCTCGAGAACCGCTTATCAGAACCTATTGCTGTGGGGTCGGAAAATGTAGCTGACGATGAGATCTAGTGAGGAGTTAGAGTGTTGAGCTTCTGTGAAAACTTTGGAAGCCATAAATAGTCACCAACTCGGCTCGCCGGGGTGCACTACTATTAGAGAGAAGACGGTATTTAAGTTAAGACTTTACAGTTAGATTTAAACCAAAATCTATTTAATAAGCTATTTCAGATATTTCCAAGAATATACAATGGATATCATTGCTCGGGTTTCGATGGGACAACAAGGATCGAAACAATTTGAGACTGATCTCGTTCCGATTATGAAAACGGTTTGTTTTACTTATAATCTGCCGAATCTAGTACTTTCTACAAGAAAGCTGATTTAACTACAAGTACAAAAACTACAAGAAAACCGATTTAACTACGTTAAACTCAACTGAAAGTTAGACAAAAGAGCATACTGTAGCTAAAGCCTATTTAAGTTCAAAGTTTTTGGTCTCTTTGAAGATTTTCATCAAGATTTAACCACCAAGCTCTCGAAAGTTTGTTCATTACTCTAAGTGATCAAATATTGTACAAGTTCTCTTCTCATAGAATAGAATTGAGTAAGTAGAATAAGTAATGAAGTTGTGGAAACCAAAGTTAGATCAAACTCGCAAATATTATTTTATTTGTTACTTTGTGATCATTGTCTAACTCGCTTTAGATCAGGCCCAGGCTTAGGATTAGGAGATGCCGGTTTTTGGGAAGATTTATGATCTCTAAGATCTCTAAGATCTGTAAGAAAGATATCTAGTATTATATTCAACGTATACGCATTTGAGTCAAGAGAACTCAAGAAAAGAACTAGCTTTCTCATAGTACGTCAACCAAACCAAACCAAACCAAGTCAAACTCAAACTCAAAGCTCAAACGATCATTTTCAGTTCTTCGACCGAGATCCCCGTGATCCGATCTTCTATTGGGCTTCTGCGATGCCGGTTTTTGGAAAGGCTTGTGATCTTTACTAAATAGTTCACTAAGGAGTTGCTGACTACATTGATCTATTCTTCGATGCTGAAGAAGAGATTCATTTTCAATTGAATTTCAATTGAATTCAATTTCATTTCAATTTCAGTATATCCGAATGGGTTTCTTTTTGGTGATGTCACTTGTGAAGAATAGTTTCATGAGAGCCGTCAGCTTGATCGAGAATGCTGTGAAAGAACGAAAAGAGCAACGGGTTCGAATTTTAACCTATCGCTTTTAAGCCTGCAAATCGCTTTTTTGAAATTCTCAAACCAGTCTCAAACCAGCTTTGAGTCTAAGATTTCAGGCAAATGGAGCATCGTCAAATGACAAAGAAGTTGCTGATTACATTGATCTATTCTTAGATGCTGAAGAAGAGATTGATTTCAGTGAGGAAAAGAAGCAGAATTTCAAAAATATGCATGTGAGTTAGACCGATCTCATTGAGATTAAGTCTTGAACATTACTAAAATGACATTCATTTGAAAAGCTAGAAAGAACAAATTCACCGATTAATCTACGGTTTTCTCCATTAGAAAGGCCTATTATTTCTCTACAAAATAGCGTTCAAATTTTGTCTGTTTATTGTTTTGTTCTGTCTGTTTTTTTACGGAGATGTGAAGTTGGGTTTGAAATCATTCGGGCCATCAGAAATCAGAAATCAGAAATCAGGGGTGGCAGGAAAAGAGTTAAGACTAGTGAAGGGAGATTGAGGGCTAATTTGGCAGCAAAAACAAAATTTTCTTCCGTTGCCGGGAATCGAACCCGGGCCTTATGGGTGAGAGCCATAAATCCTAACCACTAGACCACAACGGACATGTGAGGGGGTGACGAGAAATGAAAGTTGAGACTAGTGAAGAAAGATTGCGGGTGAATTTGACAGATTGACAGATTAGTTAACCCTTCCTGGGGCAAGGGAGGCAAGTGCGTTGTGGTGTAATGGTTAGCAGGTTTGGCCGGTAAGGGAAAGGTCGGGGGTTCGAGTCCGGGTGGCGCCGTTTTTTTTCAAAAGCTGAATCATTTGATCTTTGCTCATTTCTTGCCTCTTTCTTTTCTACAAGTTGGCTCATGAGTCTTTAGAGTCTTCATTTAAAAAGCTATTTTGAAATAAGCAATTCACCGATTGATCTACGGTTTTCTCCATTAGAAAGGCCTATTATTTCTCTAGAAAATAGCGTTTGTCTGTTTTTTATGGAGATGTGAAGTTGGGTAGGAAAAAAAAGGCGACAACTTTTGAAGACGCAATTTAGGCTCTTTGGTTCACAGAAATCGATCTTTGTGGGAAAAGATAAAAAATAGAACTCAAAAAGTTAGGTATATAGCCGAAATTTCAGGATAATCTGTTCAATCGAATTCTTTCTAGAGCTTTTTATCGAATTTTACCAGTTTATCGGGAAAAAACGTGTTTTTTTGCACTCGAATTTGATTGGAAATGAACCTAAATTGTGCACCCTGAGCGTCGCCTAAATTCCTCGAAATCTCGAGAACCGCTTATCAGAACCTATCGATGTGGGGTCGGAAAATGTAGCTGACGATGAGATCTAGTGGGGGATTTGAGTGTTGAGCTTCTGGGAAAACTTTGGAAGCCATAAATAGTCATCAACTCGGCTCGCTTGGGTGCACTACTATTAGATAAAATACGGTAGATACACTACTGGACAATGAAATATCATATTTGAAAAAACGCTTCCGCACTTTTGCACGTCTGTAACTCCCTTGTCTTTCGCGTATTTCTAAATATTAATATTACCATTGTGTAGCCGTTGAAAAGAGCTTTCAGAAAATGTATAACACTAATATTTTAAACTCAAAGACAAGGGAGTTACAGACGCGCGAAAGTGACGATCGTTTTTCAAATATGATATTTCATTGTCCAGTACTGTCTATTGCTATGCTTTAGTACTCGCAATACAATGATCTGATGCATTAAAATAAGATTTAAATCAAATCAAGTTTATTAGAATGGATCAAATTCAGGTAAAACGTCATTTACACGAAAGAGAGGTGATCATGCAATTGTTAATGTTTCTCATTGTCGGTTTTGACACAACATCCAACTCTTTGGCTTATGTTTCTTGGTATTTAGCGAAGTATCCAAAAGTTTGTTTTAATATCTCATTATCTATAATATTCTAAACTCCTCCATTTAGATTCTCAAAAAAGTGCAAGAAGAGATTGAGCAAGTTTGTGGAGATGAGGTTAGCTCGGGGAAATTTCTTTATAAATCTCTTCTTTAGGAATTAACTTATGACAACTTGAACGAATTGAAGTATATGGATTGCGTGATAAAGGAAGCACTGAGATTAAATCCATTGGGAGTTTTGTGAGTTAAAGATTGGACACTAGCAAAATGCTGTACAGCTCAGGCTCAACTGCTGTACAGCTCAGGCTCAAATGCTGTACAGATTTACAATCGATTTCCTGCCAGCCTGAATCTTCTCCTTTTCAGTGTCTCAAGTCGAGTCGCTGCTCATCGTTGTGAATTCGCTGGAGTCCAACTTGAAGAAGGAGACAGTGTACAGGTAAAGAACTCATCAATTCCATTCCTAAACCGTTTTCAGATCGATGTCTTCTCAATTCAATACAGCAAAGAGATTTGGGGAGATGATGTTGAAGAGTTCAATCCAGATAGGTTTCTTTTAAGGAAATTGGTGCTTGCTGTGTAAACGCTTGCTTTCTGGCATACTGAAGCATTCAATGCTTAAGGAGGCATTCAATGCTTAATCTAATACTTAGCATTCTAGATTCTTGAATCTGACAGCTGACCAAAAAGAAGCTTATCTTGCATTTGGAGCCGGTCCTCGACAATGTGTTGGTGAGTCAATGAGAGAAAAATAGCTGAAATAAGGGGTACAATAGGCCCTACATATTCATAAAGATATTTATTATGTATCGGCGGTAAAGTCTGCGCAGCGCAGTTGAGAGCGCGCTTGTTTTCCGCTCACACGATCCGGGTTCGACTTCTGACTCGATTTTGACTTCTCAATTTCTTATTTTAAATGGCACAACTATATTAAACAAGGTTTAATTGGTACAACTGTTTGAGGCTTTTTTAAAAATTTCAGTTTTTTCCCAAAGACTAACCCCACGGGTTTCCATGGGTAATTAAAAGTTAATCCCGCGGTTTTTTCGTTTTAGAAATTTCATCTCCAATATTCTAGTCATCTCCAATCGTTTTGTGCTCTTTTCCTGACAGAATTTAGAATCTGCTTGCTAGAGTTTTGAGAGAGTCTAATAGTCTTGGAACTTTTAAACTATCTGTAGATGGTCTTGAGCTTGAAGTAGTCTAGTAGATGCTAGATCTAGAGCTAGATCTAGTAGATGCTTGATTTTATCTGACTTTACAATCTTACATACATTATATCGTGTTGCTTTTCGGTTCTTTTCGTGTTTATTTGTATGAATTCATGTGTAATAGATATAAAGACGGCTGAAAAAAAGCCATTACAAACGGACAGACAAACACTGCTCTTTTAGATATAGTAAAAGATAATAGTTACTAGGAGACTGTACCTAACAGATGACATTCGACAGCTGCCTGGCAAGGGATATGTACAGTAATCCAATTATGTGTTATGTACAGTACCCCAGTACAGAGCTCAACTGTGTACGGTACTGGACCTTATACTGTACACTGCTAGCTACAAGATACAACTGTTACAAGATACAAGAAGTTCCTAAACGCTCACCGTAACCAACTTGTTCTAGGCATGCGTCTGGCTTACTTGGAACAACGAATGGCTTTCGCAGCATTGTTGAGAAAATATGATATTGTTGCTGGACCGGAAACAGAGGTCAGAGAAATAGCTTGTCTCTTTCAATCGAATTTAGAAAGAACTCCAACTCCAAGGTTGGACAACAATGTCACCAAAATCTGTGACTGTACAAATTCGAAAACGAGGAATGGAATGAAATGAGGAACAGGGAATGACATCTCATTTGCACCTAATCGCTCACAATCTCGTTTAAAAGTCTGACAATCTCTTTAGAACGTTCCCTTGTAAGCATTGTTTTTCTTTTGAGCGTTTTCTTTTTCTGAATTTTTGAAATTATTGTGTTTAATTGTTTGGAAATAAATCGTGATTTCTTGTAAATCACAAACACAAAAATTGCTCTCTTTTATCAATTGAATGATCAATTTTATTGATAGGAAGTTTTTCTCTATCTCCCTAACAAGAAAATCCAATCCAAAATCTCTAAATGACCTTGATTTTCCCAAAAAACGAACGATTCCTTGATCATTTTTTCAAATAAATCCTTTACTTTCCTGAAAATAGTTTTAAAAGTTATAGCCAAACTTCATAAGGATCTTTTTGAAACCAACCCCGAGTTGATCTGACAATTGGAAGTCGAGATCTGAAGGAAAATAGAAGAGTCCCCAAACTCTGATAGGGTATACTAATATAGGGTCTACTAGTATACTAAAGTATAGGGTATACTAGTATACTAAAGTATAAGGTATACTAGTAAATGCTATACTTTAGAAGGTCAACTTTGACACTAATTTTCTCTATGTTTTTATCGATAAGTTTACAAAACAAATTCTACTTTTCTTTAGTCAAATTTAATGGAGATTCTAATAAAACCAAGCATGAGTTGATTGAGCTTCCATACCTCGAATTATAGACCATCTAAGTGGATTGACTCTTTCGGGTAGGTAGTCTAACTTTAACACAGATTTTCTCTATGTTCTTACACTATGTTTCTCTTTTTAAAAATCTTCATTACAGAATGTGTTGTCTTCCATATTGTAAAGAAAATGGATTAAAAAATGATGAATACAATTGCTGTTGTTGTGGGAAAATGAAAGCTAAGGTATTTTATCAGATTTCGATAAGAATTGCTCTAAAGTTTTTGGTATTGAAATAGAATTTTCAGACAGCAACGATAGTGATAACAATCTTTGAGACATTGTGGCTCTCAATGTGTCTAGTTTTCGCTCTCACCTCTCAAGCAAACAATGCAATTACGGTAGATAAACTTTCAAAACAATTTTCTATAGTTTTCTTTCAGATCACCGTCATTTCTCTAATGTTTATACCGATTATTCCCGTTATTTTAGCTCTCTTCACAATGAGATCGATTTTTCTGTTAATACATTGGATTCTCTTTGTAAGTGATAAAGAAAATGACAAAATTCAGATGTAATTTAGGCTTTTGAATGTGTAATGGTTGTTGGAATGACTGGAGTTGTCTTTGGAGCTGCGTATGAGTGAGTTTGGGAAGAGATTTTGATAAGTTCTCGTACTTTTCAATAACCAGTCTGCTTTTCTTCTTCTTCTGCTTTTCTTTTTCTTCTTGTAACAAAAATACTTTAGTCAATGGCTACCAGAAATCAAAGGAAAATACGATTTGACAGTTCTTGCTTCAGGTATAAGGCATTGAATCATCATTGATTTCAATCATTCAATCATAAAACTTCTTTTATTAGGTAAATGCATAAGAAATGCGGATTTTAACATTTTCATAAATCTCCAACGATAGAAACCTGATATCGATGAATGTTTTAAAATATTACGAATATTGTAAACGAAAGTTGTAAATCTCCTCTACAAAATAGGCTAAAAAGTGCTTCAATTGATCGAACCATTCAAGAAATTTCGAGGGTGAAATGCGAGTGACCAAAAATGGAATCGAGTCACTTTAGGGACAAGTTTAGTGTCGTCAAAATAGAGTTAGCTTCCCAAAATTGAAGATTTGACCAAAAAAGGGCACTCTTCGAAAACCCCACATTCACAAGAATTCGGTTTTGACTATATAGTGGAAAATGACCGCCCTAAATAGCAGTCAAAATAATTAAGAGTTGGGATCATTTCATGGGAAAACTGCGAGACTTTGAACTAAAATTTATTCCTTTAGATTACTGTATTTGGAACTAGAAACTTGAAATTCTTTAGTGCTTTTCCTTGAATGAATCCCTTAGAAGTTCAAAGAGTTTTGAAATGATATCAAGAGTCTTATCAGGGTCTTAGCAGGGTCTTATCAAGAGTCTTATCAGGGTCTTATCAAGAGTCTTATCAGGGTCTTATCAGATCGACAAAAGTTCTTTCATCTTTAACAACATTAACAACGATGTTCTATAGGTAAAAAATGCTTAATTTTCTAAAAACAATGGTTTTACAGTATACTTGCTACTAAAAGGTTGGCAAAAAAGAAAGATTCAACAAAAATACTCCATCATTTCTTATTACAATGACAACTTTTACCTTTAGTTGCTTTTTATGCTCAACTTATTAATATCCGTTTTGGCATTCCGATCACAACTTCGAGGGGAAATTATCTTGGTGTCGCCACGTATCGCTTTTCCTTTCTAGAAGAATTTTTTGTCTTTTAGCTTATTTTGCTACTGGAAACTCACCAACCCGAAATGGGCATTCTATAAATATTTAAAGTAAGTCAATAAATGAATCCGTCAATAGAATGTGTTACAGTTTTAGAGAAAGTACAAATATATTTATTGATATTCGAAAAATGCTGTCCTTTAATTTGAAAAGATTCCAATTTCAGAAAGATCAATGCCTCCAATGACGAGGAAACACCAAATACCAGAGATAAAGCACAAACGAATGTTTGAACGAATCTTTTTCAAATAAACATTATCAACAACAAATGTTTTCAATATTTACAAACAAATCTGGTTCTTTTCTGTTAGAAATCCGCAAAAATCAACCCCCGATCAATTCCCTGACCAAGAATGACCAAGAATGACCGCAACAACGTCGTATTATGTTATGAGACCCATTTCACTTTTTGCTTACTTGTTTTTATGGTTTTTCTGTTTTTTCTGTTTTTGTGTATTTTTCTTATTTTATGGTATGATTACTAACTTTCAATATTCAATTTCAATTAGTGTGTTTGTTTTCAGGAATGGTGAAAGCGTCTCCACATCGACCATCGATCCTTGAGCTCAAGCGGCAGCGTGTTCAGGCGGCTGTTCAGGCGAGCAAGATCTCAAAGCGCCTGAATGTCCCCAGAAGCCTCGTTTCTCGAACCATTCAACGTTATGAAACTCTGGGCACAGTTTCTGATCGATCCAGGGATCTGATCGCTCTGGAAGAGGTGCAAAGCGAAAAGCGGTTACTCCGGCTAATTTCAAGAAAGTGCGCGATGGTCTAAGATTAAAACCTAACCAATTGGCTCGAGGAAGGGCACAGAAAATGGGTCTGAAGAGAAGCTCCGTCAAGACAATCATCAAGAAAAAGCTGAAAATGAAGCCGTACAAGAAGAACAAGTCTCAATTACCATCAGCTGCTGCGAAGGGCAAACGAAAAGACCGATGTGCCCAACTTTGCAACGGTTCAACGGAATCGATCACCACAACATCCTGTTCACCGATCAAAAGATATTTACCATTGAGGGAATTCGCAACAAGCAAAATGATCGAGTTTGGGCAAAATCTCAGCCAAACGTCACTGTATCGCGCAGTTCTCATCCTGCATCGGTGATGGTTTTTGCCGGAATAACCGCCAATGGAAAGACCCCGTTGATCTTTGTTCTTCAAGGTGTGAAAGTAAATACGGTCAATTATTTGGACTTGCTAAAGAAGGAGGTTGGTCCGTGGGCTCAACGCCACTTCAAAAATCGAATTTGGACTTATCAACAAGATGGTGCGCCGGCTCACAAGGCAAAGAAAGTGCAAGAGTTTTGTTCAAAGACCTTCCCGGACTTCATCTCGTTTTCTGAGTGGCCACCCAGCTCACCCGATCTTAACCCATTGGATTACTCAGTCTGGAGTGTCCTTGAAATGTGCAAAACCACAAAATATCGAAAGTTTGAAGAAAGCGCTCATCAAAGCATGGAATACCCTTGATGATGCTTATTTGCTCGCCACGATCAACGCGTTTTCCAAACGTTTCCAGATCTGAATGCCGATGAAGGCAAATTTGAATTTAATTGTTAATTTGTTAATGTTATATGTTGAGGAAAGATATTTAAGTTAACTTTTCGAGATGGGTTTCTTTGGTTAATGGTTAATTTGGTTAAAAGCCAGGCATTTTGTGTGTTGTGGTAATTCTTGGTCACCTTGTACATCCGCAAAATTTGCATTCCACCATTTAAAACGATGTATAACGAAAAAGTCTCACAAATCTTACTACAACAATTCCTAAATATATTCAATTTTGAATCTGTGCCCTTTTTTCGCAAACAGTAATTCGTTGTGCTTGATCACAAGGGACATCATTCCATCGAGAAATATAATCATTGCTCAAATCTTCCAAACCGATTATTGGATCACTGTACATCTGAAATTGAATTCTTAGAGTCAGATTCGTAAAAACAAGACAGATTTTAAGACTATTATCAAGCAACTAACCGCTATGCACGCCTCAACTCCCCAACGATTATTCGGCTCATTCTCCGCCCATCGATGATAGGAAAATTGACTTCCATCATCCCAAACAAAGTAGGTTCTCTGGAAATGGAATAGTTTTTGAAAAGTGGTATGTTATCTACAGGGTGCGTCATAATTATTGCAACAAGAGTTCAAAGACCGTTTTCCAAACAGGAAAACGGGCGTGTCATGGGCGTGTAAAGCCAATAAAAATCAAAATTGGACCTTCATGCAAGATGGAGCTCCCGCTCACACGAAGAAGACGGTTCAGGACTGGTGTGTGGCCAACTTTCCCTCAGTGATCACCAAGGATGAATGGCCTCCAAACTCACCGGATCTCAATGTGATGGACTTTTCCATTTGGGCAATCTTAGAGGCTAATGTCTGCTCTCGAAAACACACAAGTTTGGATTCTTTGAAGAAGTCTTTGACCAAAGGATGGAAGGCGACTCCTCAAGATGACATTCGGGCCGCAGTGGAGGCATATCCGAACCGATTAAGGGCTGTTATCAAGGCAAAAGGCGGTCATATCGAATGATCTCTTGTTTCCTTATTTGTTACTGTTAAATAAAGCTATTTCTGTTTAAAAATCTTCTTCCAGTGAAACTTCTTGGTGTGCAATGCCTTGAGTATCTTGTTGCAATAATTATGACGCACCCTGTATATAAAGTCAAGCAGTTAAGACAGCAGACAAGCTTTTTTTCACCTTTTTCCTTGCTCCAAGCAGCACGTTTCCCGATTTGAGATCATTCGGCAATCCGGAACTTGTGAACTCTAAAAGAGCTCTTCTTTTTGAACTTAGTACCCCATTCTACTAATAATAATAATAATCTAGATAATCCAAATTCAATAATTAACCTCTAATAATCGAATTCTTCTGCTGATTATCAATCTTAACAATGTGTGCTCCCATTCGAGCGCATCTCCGCAACGCATCATCATAAGCGACGTTGTAGATTTTCTAGAAAAGAACTTAAATAACAACAATCACAACAACTTTTTGGAAAAGTATCTGGGAGATTTCTGATTTATTTCAATAGTGGCAAGTGTTATACAGAGAATTGTGGCCAAATGACAGATTCGCCGGAGAGATGTCGACTAGCGCTCATTCAAGCGCTTGTTAAATGAGTTGTATAAGTCCAATCGCGATGTTTTTGGTAGGTAAATGTTGCCGAGAATTAGGCCTACAATTCTCTGTATAACACTTGACACTATTGAAATAAATTAGACATTTCCCAGATACTTTTCCAAAAAGTTGTTGCGGTAATTCTTGGTCACCTTGTACTTTAGAAGCTAATCGATAATATAATATTCTAGATAATATAATATTCTAGATAATATAATATTCTATAATATTAATATTTATTAATATAATATTCTTCTAGTTAACCAGATTTTACACCTTATAACACATTTGATGTTTCATATCGTAGTGCCAACTCTTTGCACAAGATTCAGCTATCCTTTCGGCACTAATCACTTGTCTGAAAATTGATTTTATTAAGAAATTCAATTGTAAAACTATAGTAAAACTATTTCAGCAAATATCCTAGTTTTTGCTAACTTACAAAGCCTCCAGACTTCGACTCTCACTATAAGTTTCAAGATGAACGGATTTCTCCACCTCGGATTGTTCCGAGGGCAACTCGGATCGTTCGAGTTGAATTCTAAAGGAATTCTTGTTAAATTTTAAGCCAAGAATTTAGCTATATGTTAAAAAAAATAGCACATTGAGTATCCGGATATGGTGGCAGCTCCGAGAGCAAGTACAAGAATGAATCCAACAATGAGATGAATTGCTTTTCGGTCAGATTGACTAAAAGATTGACTTTAGATTGATTTTAGATTGGCTTGATTGACTAGAATGACTTTAGGTTGGCTTTGGATTGACTCTAGATTGACTAGAATGACTTTAGATTGGCTTGATTGACTAGAATGACTTCAGGTTGGCTTTGGATTGACTCTAGATTGACTAGAATGACTTTAGATTGGCTTGATTGACTAGAATGACTTCAGGTTGGCTTTGGATTGACTCTAGATTGACTAGAATGACTTTAGATTGGCTTGATTGACTAGAATGACTTCAGGTTGGCTTTGGATTGACTCTAGATTGACTAGAATGACTTTAGATTGACTTTAGATTGAATAAAAGTTGATTGCAATCAAAATCATCCATGGAAATCTAAAAAATCAATCTATTTCTTAAATTTATAAACTAAAATTTACATTATCCACTAAAAGCTTTTTAAACGAACCATTCCAGATCTGGATCAGATTTGAGTCGCTGAGAATAGATTGGTTCTTCAAAATCGTTCATAAATAACCGTTTGAAAATGAGAAAAACTTTCAATTCTCTTAAAGATCTTCTATTTTCTAGTTTAAGAAGAATAACTTCTAAAGATTGCCCATTTTATAACCATTCTTTTTAATTCCCTGAATATCTATTCCTGGTATTATGTTTATCTTTAAGAAAACTTTTCCCTTGATTTCTCCTTTCTTATCATTTCACGATTCTCTTTTTAAGAAACCCAATCATTACAGGAAAATGAGAGATTTTAAGATCAAATGAAAATCGAAATCATTCTTTTTGACGTCAATTCCTGGTGCTAGGTGGAAAGGGTGTGCAAATCCGTGAACTTTTGAAGACGTGAAACTTGCTTGAAAGTCAAAAGCTTGTCATAATACACATTTTTTTCATTTTCGGCGCCGACTCATTCTCCCCAACTCAATAGATTATTAGATTTATTTTTGAAATGAGAAAAAAAATCAGATCACTCTTGAGATTCAACAATAATCAAAGAGAAACAAAATGTTTAATGGTTATCAGAAATGAATTGGACCATTGTCTTCATTATCGTCATCGAATTCTCTAAAATAATTCAGAATTTAAAGCACCGATAGCTATCCCACTTTGCTTGAAACAATCCATGCATATCAGGTGTTTGTGAAAGGCTAGAGATACTCGGTGAAGTACTAACTGAATATAATAATTCAATGAAATCTAGTTTATATATAAACCTTGAGCAATGCTTGATTGGGAATAGCTTGCCGGGAATTCACCTACAACTTTTTTTGGTTTTGAGAGTCATTAACACTCACTGGAAGTGGTTCTCGAACGATTTCTGGTGTTTGATCGTGAAAGACGACCTTCTTGCAAATCATCCTGACGTTCTTAAATCATTTGTTTAAATCCTTTTCCATACCTGGTTTTCTTGATGTCTTAACATAAATGCATCAGCGAATTGTGGAAATGACAAATGATTTGAATCGAGATCTTTCAACGCTTTCACCTCCAAATAAATGTCATCAACCAACTGGAAGATTTAAATAAATTGAATTTAGATTAAAATTGGAATTGATTGATTGATTGAATTGATTTCATCAAACTCACATCCATCCACGGGAGTCGACTTGAACCCGGTTTCTCTGGATCATTCCATTCACTCGCAGGACGGGATTCGACAATGGAATTTGAGAGAGTTTCTAAACATTATTTAGTTTCCAAGATTTATTTTTAAACTAACAGAAAACTATTAGGCTATCAAGAAAGTCTTTTCGTTCATTTTCCTTGCCGGGAATTCACCTACAACCGGGAGTTCACCAAAAATAACAAATTCACCAATTAACCTATAGTTTCCTCTAAATAAAAAGTGTTTACTGTTGAATTTCCAATCTTTTTAAGTCAATTTGGGTTTTAATTCTTGCTGGTTTTAAAGGGAATGAAAAGGATTTCTGGACAGGATTTCTGGACAGAATTTCTGGACATAATTCTAACCACAATCCGATTCGGTTGTCGAATTGTAGAGTGCAGGCGTGGATGATGGCTGAGTAATTGGTGATTCTGATTTGGCTTCCTGATTTCGTCGTTTACATGGGATTTCTTCGTCTTCGGTTTCACTGAAGTTGAAGTTCTTTTAATGCTCAATTTCTTTTCTTTTCTTACCCTTCTTGTAGTTCATCTCCTGAATGATCTCTTGAAATATCGATTCTCATAAATGACCTCGAGAGATCATATTCTTTTTGTGGTTTCACGTCACAAATGCGATGACGATTGAACATTCTGAAAAAAGGGTGAAAAAAACATAGAAAAGAATCAGTTTCAGTCAGCTTGTGCTATAGGGTTTAGTAAAAAGTTGGATGGAAACTTTTTGATCACTCAGATTACAGTAGACTTTTGATTATCTTAGAGATTACAGTAGACTTTTGATTATCTTAGAGATTACAGTAGACTTTTGATCATCCTAGAGATTACAGTAGACTAAATTCTTTTAATTAAACCTTCTTTTTACACACCGAGTCTTTCCAAATAACGGATTCACTTCATTTCTTCGAAGAATTACTTGAGGTCTGGATTTGAAGAGCCAATTTTTGCCTAAAGATTAGAAACATTTAAAAGCATGATTTGAAAAGGATTAAAAGTGTTTTGGTAACAAAAAAAGTTCTAATTTATTTTGTTTTACTGTCTAGAATGTATAGAAAGCGATGGTTTACGCAAGCGCACAAAGAATCAAAGCTAACATTGAGTACTTACAATCATCTTCCTTCTCCGCATCTTCTAGATAGATGAAATGTGGGGCAAAAGCGTCTTTTCCTTGTTTGAGATTCTCAGTCTGAAGTCTAGCCATTGGCTGAATGAGTTATTCCATTACCTGAATGATATGACAATATCCACCAAGATTTCCTTCATTCAAATAAACTCGAAGTCCTTTTATTTCTTCATCTTTTTTATTATTTAGCATTTTCTTTGTGTTCTTTATCACCGAAATGCTCACTGATCCGAATTGGATTTCTCTGGAAAAGTCAGCTCTTTGTTTTTTCTTTCAAATCACGAACTTTTCCCCTTCCATTTCCGTGTAAATGATGAGGATTTGATCGGATTGTGAATCGTCAAAACAAAGAATGATCGATGGTGGATGAGTGTTTGGAAATCGATTACCGTAATATCTGTAGATTAAGTGATATAACTTACTTAATATTGGGTTGGTGAATTGAAAACTGCGGGCTATTGTCATATGTGACAGTTTGAGCACTTTCTTCAAAAGAAACCCATTTTGGTGTCAATGGAAAAGTTGTAGAGAATCAAAAATCAAGCTTATATCCAAATTTTCAGAACGATTCAAAAACTGGTTTTCAAGAAATGCCAAATTTATGAATTTTCACAAAGCTTGCATTTTAAGCGAAACTACTAAGTGTATCTTTTTGAATATTTGGCTATAAGCCTAATTTTTGATTCTCTACAACTTTTCTATTGACACCAAAATGGGTTTCTTTTGAAGAAAGTGCTCAAACTGGGACATCTCCAGTCCTCCATTTTTAAGTCTCACACTTGTCTCACTTGTCTCGATTCCTCAACCCCGAAAACCTCGGGTTCAATTTTTCTTTTCAAAAATTTGAAGTTTTTGAACTTTAAAATGCAACAAAGAAGATTGCCTGGTTGTTCTCTGCGCGCAAGCACAATCGCGCTCGTTCTAGCATCCTATGTTTCCACATATAGTTCCCTTTTCCCTGAAATCGGAAGCGTCCATTTTGGGTCATCCGGTAACCAATCCGTTGTCTGCCCCATGTGGTCACCGCTTCCCAAAACTAACTTCGGCTGTAGAATTGGCAAACCCAATTCCGGCTCATTTTGACCACTATGGCGAGTTCTTCGTCGGTCGAGATGGGATCCCAAGTGCCTGTAAAAGGGTGCTGAAGGGAGCCGCTGTGAATTTTGGATTCATCCCAAGGATTTCGGTCCGCAGGGGCAGCAAGAAACTCATGAAACAAATCGGGTAAACGGCTCAAGAAGTGGAGAATACCAGAGATGATGTGGAGGGAGATTTAACGACAAGTACAAAGACTACAAGAAAGCCTTAACTACGTTAAACTAAACTGAAAATTAAACAAGATTGGAGCGTACTGTAGCTCAAGTCTATTTAATTTCGAATCTTGTAGTCTCTTTGAAGATTTTCGTTAAAATTCAACCAACAACCAACCAACAGTTCTCCAAAACTTGCATTTTAAGGGAAACTACTAAGTGTATCTTTTTGAAAATTTGGCTATAAGCCTAATTTTTGATTCTCTACAACTTTTTCATTGACACCAAAATGGGTTTCTTTTGAAGAAAGTGCTCAAACTGGGACATCCCCAGTCCTCCATTTTTGAGTCTCACACTTGTCTCACACACAAACCAAAATCCTACAACGAAAGAGGAATCCGCAAATTGCCTTTAAAATGGGCCGTTAATGCCGTTAATGACGACCGTTAATGCAATCAAATACAGTGAACAGTTGGGAAAGGTGAATGAATCCCTGAAGAAGAATAGGCCTCCAAGTCAAAGTTCTCATCCACGACAACGCGCGCCTTCATGTTGCAAAACTGAGTCGCTTTAAAATAAATAACCTTGTTTGGGAACTTTTGGTGCATTCCCCATACAGTCCGAATCTCGCCCCTTTTGATTACTATTTATTCCGGATCATGAGCTTGCGGGAGAACACTTCGATTCGGAAGAAACAGTCAAAAATTGGCTTTGAAAGTTTTTCGATTCAAAACCAAAATCCTACTACGAAAGAGGAATCCGCAAATTGCCTGTAAAATGGGCAGAAGTCGTCAATAATAATGGAAATTATTTGGAATGAATTTATGGTTTTATGTTCAATAAATTTTAGTTCAAAGCGCCGCAGTTTTGACCAACTTAATATTTTGCTCATCAATTAGTCAAATTTTACCTATAATCTCTAGCAATTTTCTCACATCGTCTCTTTGAACGAAGAGTGATGAATCTAAAATAAATAAACTTGTCTAAGATTCAGCTCTTCGTTTTCTACTTTACACGAACTTTTCATTGAACATTGCCACTGTTGATTTCCCCACCGCTGCCTCTTTAACTCCAAGTTCAAAATTTTGGTCTTCGATTGCTCTTCCCGCATCCAATAACCACTGAAATTTTGAAAATTTACCTCATTACAGTAACAAGATACCTTGAACAAAGTTGGAGCCGGTTTAGAAAGGTAGATGAATTTTCCAAATGATCCATCTGCATTTACAATCATGAAATCATTGCCAACAGCCTGAAATCATTCCCAAGACTCAAAGTCTCTAAGATTCAATTTACATATCGTGATCCATTCAAATCCTCCTTTTCCACCATCACAATGTTTTCGGCGTTCGGTGCGAGTGGATCCATTAGTTTATCTTGCATCGCCAATGCCCAAACGCTCTGTTTTTTGCGCTCTACAAAAAGATCAAGTCAGATCAAAAATATCAGGGTGCGGCAAAAGTTTTGAGCCGCTACGAAAAGCCATACGAAAACATTACAGAAAACCCGTTTGGGCTATTTTGGAAGACAAGTTCTCGATGAAGACGTATCAAACGCTTTAATCTTTAATCTTTAAGCAATGAATGCTTTAAAAGCTTCTCTGAAACGAGCCTGGGATTAAATAACTGTTCAAGAGTGCGCCACCATTGTAAGGAACTTCCCAAAGCGTTTAAAGAGGTGTATCGAAGCGGATGGTGGAAATTTCGAGCATTTGTTATAAGTTATTTGTTGTTATGATTTGAATAAAGGATTTGTTTTTAATTTTTGACTTTTTAAAGCTAGTTTCTAAAAATCTTTGACTATCTTAAGAAGCGGCTCCAAACTTTTGCCGCATCCTGTAATCAGAATGCGTCCTTTTGCCGTATCCTGTAATCAGGATGTGTCCTTTTGCCGCATCCTATAATCAGGATGCGTCCTTTTGCCGCATCGTATAATCAAGATGTGTCCTTTTGCCGCATCCTGTAATCAGGATGCGTCCTTTTGCCGCATCCTATTTGAGTCTCGATCCTCGATATCTTATCGATCATCTCGACTTTCCCCTTACCGAATTGCTTTGTGACAACTTGATCGAAGAGATCCTTCTCCAATTGTATCGCCGACTAAAATTAAGAGCTTATTGGAATTAAAATTTAAAATCATTTAGATCTTCACCTTTTCCCAGTCTTCTTTCGGCCCAAATGCGATTCGACAAACTTTTTGAAAAAGAATCAATCGACGGAGATGACTGATCTCTTTCAAATCACAGCTTCGGCACCATTTCGAGTTCTGAAAGTGCGTGGAAAGGCTTTATTTTTAGCTATTCTCACATACCAATGATGGAACAATTCCACCCAACCATTGCAATGCTGCCCTCAATGGGATTTTTGCCTCATTGTAAGTTTCCGGTAGATTCATCCATGAATTTGGCATCTCTTCCTTCGATTTTCTCTTTTTTCCTTTCACTTTTGGTTTTTCTTTTTCTTCTTTCCCAGGCTAAATTTAACAATTGAAAGTTTAAAAATTCAAAATTTAAAACTCAAAGATTACCTTGTACTTTCCTGGAGTGAGAAAATCATTATAAGCTTTCCATGCAACATCATGATAATGATCAAAGAGTTGCTTACAAGCATTCTTTTGTAAAACGAATGGAAGCGATTCAATCTTCATCTCATAAAAACTAATTTCCGCGGATGATCTTCTAAAAGTTTCTTTTGTGAGTTTCTTTTTCTTCTAAAAGTTTCTTTTCTTCTAAAAGATTCTTTCTTTCTTTTCTTCTCTCTTCTTTTCTTTTTTTCTCAATTCGATACCCATATTGCTCATTTTGTTGAAATAAATGAAAGCATTGTGGCGGATAATTTGGAGTGGATCCGATTTGGAAAGTGCCACGACTCGTTGAGAACATCACATTGGCTCTGATCACGAAATGACGATTACGGCCTAATGGCTTTTGTTCACCACGGTAATGAATTTCCTGAATTGACTGTTAGAGTTGTGAACTGATATGTTAGATTGGTGCATAAATCTTTACAAGTTTTTTTTCAAACTTTTGTTTCCATGAAAAAGAATTCTTTACCAAATTTGTTGCGGCTTAAACTAATAAAAAAGTCTATCATTTCTCTACAAAATGACTTTTGAAAGGAAGCTCAAAACTCGCCTCAACTCTGTAAAAACATTTTTGTGTAAAATTTTCAATGATTGTTTTCAAGAAAATGGCTGGACAGATTGTTTTCAAATTTTACAGACTTACGTAATCAAATGAGCTCTATCTTTTTAGGTTTGTCTCAAAATAGGTTTGTATTGAAGAAAGTGTCGAAACTACGACTTCAACATCGGAGCAGTTTTGGGTACTCGCCTTTGAAAATCGACCAAAACCAGGCTCCCGAGTATTTCCCAAAAGCCATTTTGCAGAGAAACAATTACCGTATTCTCTCTAATAGTAGTGCACCCTGAGCGTCGCCTAAATTCCTCGAAATCTCGAGAACCGCTTATCAGAACCTATCGATGTGGGGTCGGAAAATGTAGCTGACGATGAGATCTAGTGGGGGATTTGAGTGTTGAGCTTCTGGGAGAACTTTGGAAGCCGTAAATAGTCACCGACTCGGCTCGCTTGGGTGCACTACTATTAGAGAGAATGCTGTATCCTTTTTTAATAGTTTAAATAGAAATTATGTTGCTGGCGGTATTATTTTTTAAAAAAAACGTTTAGAAAAAAAAGATTTCTGCACCAACCTAATAGAATTGAAAGTAATTTTTCATCAAACTCACCAAATTATTGATTGCGATTGCATTTTTATCATTTATTCCACAAAGTACTTTATTCCCAAGCACTGTCTTTTGTAAACGTTTCGGATTTGGGCCACCGGTTGGAAGACAATCAAATAAGTACTCGTAACCGGGTTGTCGCTTGAAATCCTAGAAATTCTTTGATACTCTAAAACTTTATTAAGATTTACCTTTATCACACCAATAATATCATCCTTAAATGGATCATTTTGATAAAGATTATCATCAAATTTCTCATGCAATGAAAGATGTGCTTCAACATAAATATATTCTTTTGCTTCCATTTTCCATAACCCTTCCAAAGCGAGGAATCTGATTGATGAAATAAAGTTTTCTAGTTTCCCAAATTACCGTAGTTGAAAAGTTGGCCTTTTCGTTTTCCTCTCATCTTCGTTTTCTTTTTTTGGAGAATTCGCGGAGGGAGTTTTCTTGCTGCTGTCATCCTGCAAGTATAATAATATGTTCTTCCTTTTAATCCTTGCAATCCTGCAATCCTGCTGTCTTTCTGGGACGGCAGAATTGCAGGATTGACGGCTTTCCGCAGGAATGTCGGCTTTCCTGAAAACTTACATTCACGAAAAGCTGTGCCTTATCCCAAAATCGATTCCCGCCCAAATCAACTGGCCACTCGAGAACCAAAGACCTAAAAACACCACTAACAAATACGAAATCGCATCTTACTCAGCTAAAACGGCGAACATATTCAAACCAGTATTTGGGATTTTATATGAACACCAGAAAAGCACTCGAAACCTGGAAAAAAAGAGTTTTCAAGTTTTTATCAAGTCTCATTTTTATCCAGACCTATAACAGACTCGTCGAGCTTTTTTGAGCAAATCGAATTGATGATTTGGATCATCTTCAGAAGTTTGGAGATCAAAATCATAAGTTGATTGCGTTTTGTCAGAGTAATCATTGATGAAAGCCGCTTGGGGAATGAGTCGGCCGAGTTGTTGTTGTCCTAGAAATAAGGGAAATCAGGGTGGCCCCAAATTATCGCAAGTTTTTGGGCTATATCTTGGCTGTAGCTGCGCGAACCGATTTAATTCCTTTTTAATATGAAAATTGTTATAATTTTCTATGGAGAATTTTACAAATTGTAGAATGCTTTTGAGATTTTTATTAAAGATGTGCTCAAAAAAAGTTCTTGGCATGCAACTCTTTCTGCAGCTTTTTATGAACAGATTTATAGGCTCTCACATGGTTTATTTAACTCTCTAACTCTATTTAATTTAACTACTTAACTCTCTAACTCTCGTTAACTCTATTTAACTGGCTAAAAAACTTAAAACAAATGTTTTTCAATAAAAATCTTCAACAAACGGTATTTTATGAGCTCTGGATCATGAAATCAGCTTCTTTGAGATGAATTTTTCTTGAAACTATCAAATTTCATCAGTTAATTTTAAAGTTAACTTAAAGAATTATTCAAATGTTAGACTTAAAGCTTAAATTTATCAAAAAAAAGTGAGAAAATCGATTTCAGTTTGAAAATAAACTAGAAAGAGCTTAAATAATGGGTTATTTCGGGCGCATCTTTCAAGCTTTCACTAATTTGTACTACAATTTGTATATCTCATAGCCGTTTACGAGATTCAGCCGTTAATGAATGATTCGTAATCGGCTAGCTGCTAACGAATGATTCGTTAACTTTTGTGCTGATGGAACGGTCGCTCAACGGTGCTGAACGGTGCTGATGGAACGGTCGCTCTGATGATGGTTTCGAATCGGATGACTAGATAGATATCTTAAACAATTGCTTGTTGCCGTTTTTGCTCCTAAATCCAACCGTTCCCGATTTGTTTCAATACGACAACGCGTCAATTCATCGAGCCGGACACACCCGAGACTGGCTGAACAACAACAACATTGCAACTTTGGACTGACTCGCTCGATCTCCTGACGTAAATCCGATAGGGAATTTATGCCGAATACTTGTCCAAGCTGCCGACAAAAATCATCGTCAGTTTCAAGACCTATATTTGTAGCTAAAACAGCGATCCGTTTGGCCTGAAGCTATCTCGACGTCTTTTCTTTTCAAAACCTCATCAATTCAATGCGAGACCGCATTTTTCAAGTAATTAATCGTTCTGGTGCGTGTACAGATTCTTGGAGGGATCTTCGACGTGATCCGATGGTGTTTGGGACTCGAAACTTTGGCGGTGGTTCTGTGATGGTTTGGGCCGCATTTTGTGCTGATGGAACGGTCGCTCTGAAGATGGTTTCGAATCGTATGAATCGTTTTGACTATATAGACGTCTTGGACGATTGCTTGTTGCCCTGTTTGCACCTACATCCAGGCATTCCCCATGTGTTTCAACACGACAACGCGTCAGTTTATCGAGCCGGAGATACCCGAGACTGGCTGAACAACAACAACATTGCAACTTTGGACTGGCCCGCTCAGTCTCCTGACCTCAATCCGATAGAAAATTTATGGGGAATACTTGTCCGAGATATCTACAAGAATCATCGTCAGTTTCAAGACGTTTCTACACTTAAAGCAGCAATTTTTTCGGCCTGGAGCGATCTCGATGTCTTTGCTCTTCAAAACCTCATCAATTCAATGCCAGACCGCATTTTTTAAGTAATTAATCGTTCTGGTGCGCGTACAGATTATTAGTTTTGATTTTTTACCTTTCATTGTTAATTTGCGTCGATAAATAAAAATATTTTCATAGTGCGTTTAAGAATTTGAAACGCACAGCACAGCACAGCACAGCCTGAGCCTGAGCTACAGTTGAGCTACAGCTGAGCTACAGCTCAAAAATTGTGATATTTTGCAGCCACTGCAACTCACTTTTCACTTCAGCCATTTCTCGTTTCAAATCGACAAAAAGGGCTCTCCAATTGGGAAATGGTAGAGTAATTGGAACATTCGGATATCCTTTTTTCAAAATTCCATAAGCAGCCTCAGCGAGTTTCCAGTGAACATCAAAGAAACGTGAATAAATGATACCCATTTTTGAATAGAAAAGGTCAAATTATCAATGAATCTAAATGAATTTTCCGTTAAAAGAAAAAGAAGAAAAGAAGGGTCAGAAGAAAAGAAAAACCAAAGTCTTATCAGTTCTTTTAAGGAATTCAGAAATTTTGGCAGGAATCGTTTCCCTTATGAAAGTTTTCCAAGGAGTATTTTGTGTGAGGTGAAGAATTCGGAAATGACATCAGAATTTGAATGAATTGGAATAAGAATTGCACAATTTGCATGTAAAATTGGATCATTATAGAGCTTTATTTGTCTAGAATTCAACAAATCAAATACAAATCAAACAAACAAATCAAACAAATCAAATTTTCTCGAAAACCACCATCAAATTTGTGAATCGGTCTCAATTACTTCGAGTTTACTCATTTTTGGAAAAAGGTTTTGAATGAAAACTTGTTGGGATTCGAATTCTATAGTCAAAATGGCACTTTAGCGCACTTTTCGATTTTACTCTTAAACTCGACTTCCAGTAATCAGATCGACTTGTAATTGCTTTTAAAATGATCCTCATGAAATTTGGTTATAGAAATGTAGAATTTATTTTGTATCCCTAGGTATAAAAACATAGAGAAAATTTGCGTCAAATTTGAACTACCTACCTGGAAAAGTTGATCAACTTTGACAGCCTATAACTCGAGGTATAGAAATCGAATCAACTTGTAATTGCTTTTAAAATGATCCTTATTAAATTTGGTTATAGAAAAGTAAAATTTATCTTGTATACTTATGTATAAGAACATAGAGAAAATTTGTGCCAAATTTGACCTTTCAAAGTGTAGGGTATACTAGTATACCCCTATCGGAGTTTGGGGACTCTTCTATTTTACTCTATAACTCGACTTTCAGTAATCAGATCGACTTAAGGTTAGTTTTAAAATGATCCTCATGAAATTTGGTTATCAAAAAGTACAATTTATCTTGTATACTCAAGTGTAAGAACATAGAGAAAATTCGTGTCAAAGTTGACTTACTTGAAGTCAATCAACTTTGACGTCTGCAGAAGTCAATCAACTTTGACGGTCTATAACTCAAGATATGGAAATTGAATCAACTTGTAATTGCTTTTAAACGCTAAAGCGTTTAACTTTTGTGTTTGTTAAATTGAACCGTAATGGGAACTTATTTCTAATAAAGAAAGTCCACATAAAACAAGAAATACCACGTCCGGATTGAACAAAAGATGAAATGAACTTTTTGAGCGTTAAAAATAATTCATAGAACTTTTATATGAAGTGATAAGGCGTATTCACTAGGGAGAACTCATCTCTTTTTCTCTTTTCTCATTCTTCTTCTCTTCTTCTCTCTCTTCTCATTCTTCTTCTCTTCTTCTCTCTTCTCATTCTTCTTCTCTTCTTCTCTCTCTTCTCATTCTTCTTTTCTTCTTCTCTCTCTTCTCATTCTTCTTCTCTTCTTCTCTCTCTTCTCATTCTTCTTTTCTTCTTCTCTCTTTTCTCATTCTTCTTCTCTTCTTCTCTCTCTTCTCATTCTTCTTCTCTTCTTCTCTCTTCTCATTCTTCTTCTCTTCTTCTCTCTCTTCTCATTCTTCTTCTCTTCTTCTCTCTCTTCTCATTCTTCTTTTCTTCTTCTCTCTTTTCTCATTCTTCTTCTCTTCTTCTCTCTCTTCTCATTCTTCTTCTCTTCTTCTCTCTTCTCATTCTTCTTCTCTTCTTCTCTCTCTTCTCATTCTTCTTCTCTTCTTCTCTCTCTTCTCATTCTTCTTCTCTTCTTCTCTCTTCTCATTCTTCTTCTCTTCTTCTCTCTCTTCTCATTCTTCTTCTCTTCTTCTCTCTCTTCTCATTCTTCTTCTCTTCTTCTCTCTCTTCTCATTCTTCTTTTCTTCTTCTCTCTCTTCTCATTCTTCTTCTCTTCTTCTCTCTCTTCTCATTCTTCTTCTCTTCTTCTCTCTTCTCATTCTTCTTCTCTTCTTCTCTCTCTTCTCATTCTTCTTCTTTCTTCTTCTCTCTTCTTCACTCTCTTCTCATCCTTCTTGGAGATTCGAATTCTTCTAATCGAATCGTTTTGAAATTGGTGTGATTTGTAAAACAAAGATGGAAAAAGTGTTTTTTATTGTTTTGCCAGAAAAGAGATTCTTCTCTGTCTTTTTATAACTCATTTGAAAGGAAATAAATAATAAATATTCAAGTGTTCTATCTACAAATTCTTATAGTAAGATTCATCTGTTGTACAAGCTCTATTCAAAGAGCTCTTTTAGTGCAAGACTTTGCAAGTCAGTGTTGTACAGAAAGCACTTTTCTAGCCATAAGTCAGATCCCTACCCGCGTTAAATGACCTCTCTATTGCAGAACTGAGCAAGGCTGTATTTAGAATCAAGACTTGGCCTAGTTACGGCTTGGGAATAGCCTTGAATTTAACTCACAAACTTTCAAGTGCCTAGCTGACTTTTGCTTAGCTGGCCTGGCTGGCCTGGCTGACTTGGTTGACTTGGTTGACTTGGCTGGCCTGGCTGACCTGGCTGGCCTGGCTGACTTGGCTGACCTGGCTGGCCTGGCTGACTTAGCTGGCCTGGCTGACCTGGCTAGCCCACCAATAGTCTGGCTTTTGGCCCAAGGTTCCAGTTAAAACAATCCTTGCCTTAAACGCGACTTGAAGTCTGATCAAACTTTTATCGGTCAAGGTCTCGATGTTTAGCCTAATCAAAGGAATTCCAACGATTTCCTGTTTACGAATCAAATACTACACCTTGTTGTTCAGCGTTTTCTCTTATTCATCCCAAGCTTCATTAAAATAAAATTCCCAAATTATGAGATAAGAAATGGCTGTCATTATCAGCAACTCCTATTTGTCGAGTGAATAAAAACAAAAACGAGTCATCATTTACACAAAAATTGATAACGAAATGTGTTAGAAATATTAGAAGAAAATGATTTTAATCTTGAGAGGAAAGTGAGTGAGATCAATGGAAATTTGAAGAAGTAAATATTTTGCAAGTTTTTCAGGGTTTATGATTAAACATAGGGATTCTTTTATAGATCTTCTTGCACACTTTTCAATTAGAAACTGAGAAACAACGTTGATATTGTGTTTCTAAAGTTGTGATCATTTGCATCGCTAAGTAATAAGTAAGCTTTGATTCACATTGCGCATGTAAGCCAAGATTCTGTACTAGAAATGAGCTTTGGTTCGATTTAGAAAGCTTACATTTCGAAAGTTATTAGGAAACCAGAGCTAGAGCCAGATTTATTATGTTGCTTTGATGTCGCCTTGAATAAAGCTACATGAATATGACACTTTCAAGTTCAATTTCTGATTTTATGGCTTATCCAACAGTTGTATCCATTTTATCCATCGTTTATCGACTTTAGACTGCTTATATTTACAATTATTTCAATCAAAGAACCACTGTTTAAATAGATCCACTGTTCCAATCAGAGATCCACTGTTTAATTGTGTCCGAATTAGATTCAATCTAAATCGGACGTCCGATTTAGATTGAACTTATCGCGGACGTCCGATTTAGATTACAGTCTATATCGGACGTCCGATTTAGATTCAATCTAAATCTTATATAGATTGTACAATAATATAAACATGCTTAATATATGTTCTTAAGCGTTTTCTGTAGTTTTCTGCATTTTTCAAAGGTCTGTTACTGTCTTTTTCTGAAAAGAAAACCCAACTATGAAACAATTTATTAGCGTTAACAGTATATAAAACGTAATATTGTTCAATCTATATAAGATTTAGATTGAATCTAAATTGGACGTCCGATATAGACTGTAATCTAAATCGGACGTCCGCAATAAGTTCAATCTAAATCGGACACAACATATATAATTTAAACTTTTAAAGTCTTTTTCTTCGAACGCAACTTGATAACAAAAGTCGAGACGAAAATTCAAATAAATGAGTGATTCTTTTGAGAAAGAAATTCGTTTGGGTAAATATTTTGGTCTGCTTTTGGAGAAATGAAAGTCTAAGAGACATTTCAACTATGAAAAGGGATGAAGAGAAGTTAACTGTTGGTTAATTGTTCTGTTAACTGTTAGTTAATTGTTCTGTTAACTGTTAGTTAATTGTTCTGTTAACTGTTAGTTAATTGTTCTGTTAACTGTTAGTTAATTGTTCTGTTAACTGTTGGTTAAACTAGATTAGAATTTATTAACTATGTAATACTAACCAATATTGAACACTATTCACAGAAATCTTGCAGAATGATTGATCATAACAACTGATCCTTTTGACGTGTAGTTCTTTTCTCAATCTCTAAAATGTCCTTGGCATTTTTTCGGAAAGAAAAAAAGAACATTTATGTTGTTGAAAATTGAGCTGAAAAAGGATTTGAACAGTATTTTGTTTATTAATGCACTTTCTTTTACTATTTTATTTCGTTTTTAGGTAAATCTTTTGTTTAACTTTAATTAACTTTTAAGTTTGTATTAGGTGTGTGAACAAGGAATCCCGTTTTTTATTTTTATCTGATGACCAAATAAGACGCTGTCTTCTCGAAAACCCTCGTTCAAGCTCTTCAGAAATAGGCCTTACATTAAATTGTGATGTGTCAACCGTAAGGAAACGCTTGAATGCCATGAATTTTATCAAAAAGTTGGACAAATGGATACCGCGTGAGTTGAGCGAAGAAAACAAAACAATGCGCCTTACAATCGCCAATTCTTTGATTAGTAAACATCAACTTGAGCCATTTATTGATCGAATTGTTACGTGTGATGAAAAATGGTTTGATTACGATAATTCTAGAAGGTCTGGACAGTGGGTGGAACGTGGTAAACCTGCTGGGACAATACCCAAAAAAAGCCTCTATCCTAAAAAAATTTAATGACAGTTTGGTGGACTGCACGTGCTATTATGCACATAGACTATTTATCACGTGGCCAAACGATTAATTCGAATGTCTATTGTGCCGAGATTGATGCAGTCCAACAAAAACTCACTGAGAGACGCGCATCATTGGTAAATAGGAAAGGTGTCCTGTTGCTCCATGATAACGCGCGACCACATGTCTCTTTACAGACTCGACAAAAAATCCAGAGTGTTGGATGGGAGGTTTTACCACATCCACCTTATAGTCCAGACCTTTCTCCATCTGATTATTATTTATTTTTGTCTCTGTCTAACTTTTTGGCCAATACAAGGTTCAATTCCGAAGAAGATGTCAAAGCCGAGGTTGATCTTTTCTTCGCCTCTAAGGACCAAGATTTTTATTATCATAGAATGTCCTTACTTCTAGAAAGTTGGCAAAAGGTTGTTCTTTCGAATGGTGATTACTTCGTTGAATAAAAATTATTTTAACGAAACTTATGGTCTTTTATATTTAAACGTTAAAAACGTGGATTACTTTTTCACACACCTAAAATTAAAGTAATAGAACTTTAGTCTAAAAAGTCTATGTCATAAGTCGTATTTTAACTTTTACTATTTAAAAACTATACTAAAAGCTTTTCAGTCTTTCATCGATTCATTCTCAAGATGATGGCTTTATCGGTGAAGAAGAAATCTTGCAAAATCTTGTCAACTCAACATATAATACAATGATTAGACCAAAGATTATTGACTCAACAGGTTGGCGAGAATGAATTTATTTCAATTCTTGAATAAAAAGTACATTTTCTAAGGCACTCAACAGCCAATAACTGTCTCGGTTAGCATGCACATTAATTCGATGGATCTAAACGTACAAAAGGGTTATGTCAGGTAGGAATCATCGTTAATTCAGTTCGTTTTCAATTCGAATTCAGTGTACAACTCTTCCTACGCGAACAATGGAAAGATCCGCGTCTTTCCTATCAACATCGAGGCCAGCTCATTCCACCATTTGTACAGATGAAAGAAAAAGCGAATGAAGATTTCATTTGGACACCTGATACATTCATTCCGGTAAAAAGCTTAATAGCTATTCTGGAAATCCCGTAGAAAAGCTTTATAACTTTATAGCTCAGGCTATAGCTTAGCTAATCTTATAGCTATAGCTTTATAGCTACCGTAAATACTGCAATAGTACCCCACCCCTATAATGACGGTGCGGAGTGTTGTGTAGTCTAGCTTTGAACGCGTTTTTCTCGAGACTGGTTTATGCTACAATGCGCGTTTAGGTATCAAAAAATAGCCCTGAATTTCAGCTATTTTTTGATACCAAAGACGCTTTTTTTGAAAGTACGGGCGCTTTGCAAGAAATGAAATACTAAAAAACTTTTGTGACTACGCGACTGTACGAGAGGGGTGGGGTACTATTACAGTATTTATGGTAATAATTCTAAAAAACGTTCGTAGGAAGCTATCTGAAAAAAACTATCGCGATCTATAAAGCTACTAGAAAAGCTCTCTTTTCTTAAAGACACTTTTTAAGAATCAATTTTCTTTTACAATTAAAAGTTTAGAGTCAAAAAATCTCGAAGACGTCTTACAGTAAACATTCGGTAATTAAAGTATTTGCAGGTTTGTGTTATTGGGATTTATTAGCACTTCAAAGAATTTTAGATGGTCTTGTGACGTGCAGTCGATTTTTGACAATTACACTCCCTTGTGCAATCGATTACTCGGTAATTCTATTGATAAATCTGTTTCTGATTTAGAAAACCTTTTAGAGATACCCAATGATGAATGTGACTTGTGTGATTTCTCTCGAATCCTATGGTTTTCCCATTCATGATCTAGATTTTCAATGGGGACAGGATGATCATCATGCAATTACTTTAGATCATTTACAAGTACATCAAATAGTACATCAAATAGTGCATAATAGTACATCAAATAGTACATCAGATAGTACATAAAATCCTTAAAATTTCTAAACCCATTCACAGATCTCACCATCAAACTTCTACCTTCACGATTTGAGCTTTAATAAAACGGTCAGCCATTACACTACCGGATCTTACAGTACGCTGAATGTGGATCTACATTTTGGGAGAGCTTTTGGGTTAATCATTGAGTTGCTTATGGGTTAATCTCGAAATGTTTCATTCAGTTCTGATCTTTTAAAGTTTTACATACCCAGCACGATGATTGTGATGATCTCTTGGATCTCCTTTTGGATTTATAGGTTTCATTTTTCATTTCTCCAGCGATCTACCACACTTCTAGAAATCAAATAGCTCCAAAAGCGATGATTTCCATGTCAGCAATGATTCTGATGTTTATTTTGGTAACTTTCAGCAATTGAACCATCTTATAGCTGATTTCAGTCGACAACAGCTGCAAATCAAATCCCAGAGACTTCTTACTCAAAACGTAGGCTTTAGTTGTTGTTGTTGTTGTTGTTGTTGTTGTTGTTGTTGTTGTTGTTGTTGTTGTTGTTGTTGTTGTTATTGTTTATTTTCTCAAACAGTTTTCAGCAATCGATTGCTGGATGGGAATTTGCTTTCTTTTTCTTTTTATTGGACTAATTGAATTGGGAATTGTCGCATATTTTGATCAAAGAAGTAAGAAAATTCAATGAAAAAAGCTAGAGAAAATTTAGAAAGAGTCAAAGAAGCTCAGCAACAAAATCAAGTGAGAAAACAGGAAAAAGCTGAGACTAATCGAGTTTAGGAAACACTGCTGACTGGCTATCAAAACTACAATCACCATGGAAATAAAGTAATGTTTCAAATGTTTCAAAACGATTATGTTTCAAAGTTTCAACGTTTCTTTAGCCTTACAAAGGATGGAATTTGCGTTGGCTGTTCAGGAATGATTTTCCGAACTTTATTGATGTCATTTCAAGTTGATTTGATCATTTTTCTCTAATCTCATTTTTTAGGGATCCTTTTTCCGATTGGATTTTTCATTTTCATGGGGATTTATGTTTTTCGTGTTTTCTTATAAGAATAAGGATCAAAAAGACAAAAAAAGTGATTAATTTTGTTTGCATAATAAAATATTAGACCAAGTTTCAGATGTACAGTTTAATAACTCAAAGAATGATTAGAATTTTGTGTCGAGAATCTTGAAGGATTCATTTGCGTGCATTTCGATCTCTTCATCATCATTCTCTTCTCCCGGGTAGTCGTCAAGGCTTAAATTTACTTCAGATTTGCTTTGGCTTGGCTTTGGCTTGGTTTGATTTAGCTTTGGCTTGGCTTTGGCTTGGCTTTGGCTAGGCTTTGGCTTGGCTTTGGCTTTGACTAATTTTCTATCATTTGGCTAGGAGAACAGTGAGCACAAAGAGCAAAAAACTTTGAAAATCAAAAACAAACTTCATCTGTAGATATCCATAACTATTTGCGGCCGTCTCAATATGGGAATACAATGCAGCTTTCAGATCATAGGCCATTGGTCGATCTGCTGGTTTCTCTTCCCAACATGATTCCATCAATGGTTCTCTAGAGAATAGAAAGATTAGCCTTTGGACAGTTTACCGGGAAAGTCGCCAACTTTCTATCATTTTATTCTATCATTATTTCTATCACAGCTAGAATTTCAAAACGATCCTATCTTGTTGATTTTTTCACAGACCGAATCCGCTTTTAGCTATATGGCTTTTAAACGCAAGAAATTTGGCATTAAAAAGAGAAAAATGCGGTCAACGAGGGAATCGAACCCAGACCAGAAACATCGTCATCGTGTTGTAACCGGGAACACTACCTCTCGGCCACAGGGACAGCCACTTCCGGCACGCGAGGAAACCTTTACAAGGCGAAGCGAGGAAGCTTTACAAAGGAAACTTTAAAGCCAAATTTCTTGCGTTTGAAAGCCAATTGAGAAAAAGTAAAAGTAGATTCGGATAACTGAACAAGATAGGAAAGATCTCGTTTTGAAATTCCATCACATTTCGTAGTTAGGAGGCTTTTGGGGGGTAAGTTTTAAACATTTAGAGCTTGACTACCAATTCAAACTCTTCAAAACTTCCAAAAGTCGATGAAGAGCGAAAGTTTAGATGCCAAATTTGATCTTACAGCCATGGAGGAGTGTCTTGTGGAGTTTCCAAACGATTTCCTTTCTTCACAAATTCGAGAACAGCTTCTGATGAGATTGTCGGATAAGGGACAGTGCCAAAAGAGAAGATTTCATAAAGGACAACTCCGTAAGACCACCTGAATATGAAATAAATAGCTAATTCTTCAATTCCATCAAACATATCGGATTTGTGGCTGTACTCGGCTTTCTCAATGGCTTCAGGCGCCATCCATTTCAATGGTAATCTTGCCGGAACTTTCTTTCCAATATACATCAAATTTTCACTTTTTCGACAAAGACCAAAGTCGGATAGCTGAAAAAAATCTTTGATTCTAAAAAATCGGCATTCCCTTACTTTAGCAACTTTCGCTTTGGTCACTAAAACGTTTCTCGCTGCCACGTCACGGTGGATGATTCCGATTGAGGCGAGAAAAGACTGAATTTTTAAAAATTTAACTTTCTTTATAGAAAATAACCTTAATTATATCAGTCAAAGCTATTTATTTTGTTTAAACAAGTTTAGTTTAAGTTTAAGTCGCAAGTTTAAGTCACTTACAAGAGCATCACAAATTTGCCAGGCCATCACCGGGAGAATGTCGACCTCGATTGGAGCTGTAGATCTCTAGAAAGGTTTCAGTTATTAAACTGACAATTTGTGAGTCAGTTTTAGCTTATTAACTTCTTTGTCCTTAAAACAAACCGTTTTTGGATCACCGAATAGTCGCACGATTGACAGAAGATCACCAAATTCACAGAGTTCAGTGACGATCAATGGATGGAGTGGATAGATGTAACAACCCAACATTGTAAGCACGTGAGGGTGGAAACCGAGAGTTTTCATAAAGCGAATCTCTTGCAGGAACTCAATTCTGAAATTTGTTGTAGAAAATTGAAGTTGAAAAGAATCGGATTGAAAAGAACCTTTCTTCAGCTCCAGCCCCATCGTGGGGTTTCTTGATGGCCACTGGGTTCTCATCTCTCGCATAATTACCAACCAGCTAAAGATTGAAATTCTAAGCAATGATATCAATATTTTAGTATACCTGAGCTCTTGGATAGATTATGGAAACTGGTGGCAAGCCGCTGAGCATTCCTGAAATCATTGTATTTATTGGACTATCCAGAAAGTCTTTTCTTTCCGTACTTTCGTTTAAAAATAACAAATTCACCAATTAACCTTTGGTTTTCTCTAAATAAAAAGTGTTTATTGTTTAATTTTCCATCTTTTTAAGTCAATTTCGATTCACTTTCAAGCAAATTCAAGAGTGAAAACGTGTTTTTTCGCAAGTTTTGCTCGTTCTTCGTTCTAAATCCCTTTAGAATGAATCCGCAATCGCTCGCTGACCTGGCTTTTACCTAGGACGGGCACTTTCCCTCTCTCGTCGGCAATCTGTTCCGGTTCGGGTAACACTGGCCGTATCCGAAGGGGGCATTCGATTTTTGACTGTACCGTGTCGTCGCCCATTTGGCGCAAAACTTCGGTACTGGTGGGGGTGCTGGCCATTTTGGTCTCCACCGTGTAGACGCTCTTTCAGCGCAAAACCACATGGAACAGGACCCGTGAAGTGGTCAACTGACTGGCCGTGTCGGGATGTCTTCCCTGTCTCTACAAATTTGGTTCCTTTTCTCTACAAATTTGGTTCCTCTACAATGGCATCCCCGCACTCCCTCCTTCTGGGCCAACCATTAGGCCCCGCGGGAAAGATCCCCCACTAGGCTAGTGCCCCCATAGGCCTCCCTCCCGCTGGGCCGACCATTAGGCCCAGTGGGAGGGCGCTGCTCGACGTCGAGCCAACTCCGCGTGGTGAGCAGTGGGCATCCCTGGAGAAACCGGGGATGGCTAAGAGCTGGACAAAGTAGGTAGGTTAAAAAGAGCTGGACAAGGCAGGAAGTATAAACTCCATGACTAGGGGCACTGTAGCAATTAGAAACATATTGAAATAGTTCATTGAAACAAAAGCAAAGCACAGTTTAAATCAATATGATCAATTTTTTGGGACCAAACTTTGCCCTGAATTTTTTTGCCACAAATTCTACAAATTCAAAATCACTTTCAAAAGTTGGGAATTTCTGTGAATTTCTTAAGCGCTTGATCACTTTTCTTGTAGATTTTTTTAGTTTCTCACCCATAAACACTGAGCCAGCGGCACCGGAACCGAGCTTCTCCGTGCTGATGTGCAAATTCTGTGGATCGACTTCCCATTCATCTTCGCCTCTGAAAAACTTTGGAAAATTGATGCTAGACCTCTAGAACCTTCTGTAAGCAGCCACGTATCGATCAAAGCCAGCATCAGTGATTTCTTGATGCATCTGAAGTTTGAGAATTGGCTAGATCAATTGTCTTCTCTCCAACTTTGACCAAAAAGGCAAACTTGAGCTTGAGCCGATTCTCCAAGAAACGAAAGAAGTGGTAAGCAGGTCGATTGAGTAAACTGAAAATGTCGATTGAGTAAACTGAAAATTTGGGAGTGGAAACTTTTTGCCCAGTCGCCTCTAATGGCCTCTAATGGCCTCTAATGGCCTCTAATGGCCTCTAATGGCCTCTAATGGCCTCTAATGGCCTCTAAACGCCTCTAATGGCCTCTAATGGCCTCTAATGGCCTCTAATGGCCTCTAAACGCCTCAAAAACCTTGTTTGTGTAAAGAGAACGAAGACGACAACCACGATAAAGATGACAATCAACAGAAATCCTCCCACTCCAACCGTGAATGCGACCACTGGGAATTTGTCGAGCACAGGGGCGACCGTGGCTAAGATTTTTACAATTTTTATGCTTGAGAAGAGTCAGAAGTTGTACTTTATAGTTGTAAGTTTCAAAGTGTACCAGAAATTTGCAAAGTTTCCAAAGAAGGAAAAGTTTTCACTCAACCTGGTGGATTTGCGCACATTCCATACGCTTTTGTTCTATCACTTTCAGACAACATTGTGATATTTTCTTCCTGAATTTGTTTAAGATCATTAAACTTTTGAATGAATTCGTCAACTTACCGAACTGATAAACGTTTTTGAGGTCTTTTTCACTTCATTCAAATATTTCCTTACATCGTTGTTCCCCGTTTCGTTCTGCAAAACTTTTTCAAGTTCTTTCGTTTATTCTCACCGGTTTTGTCCAGAAGATCTTCATAATATAATTGTTTATTGAATAACTTCTTAACATCGCGTCATTCCAACGGGTTTTCATGTCAACGAAACGATCGATAGCTGAATTTTCAACGTCAACTATCATATTAGGGTGGTGCAAAAGAAACTGCAAAAGAAACTCTCATCGTCAGCTACATTTTCCGACCCCACATCGATAGGTTCTGATAAGCGGTTCTCGAGATTTCGAGCAATTTAGGCGACGCTCAGGGTGCACTACTATTAAGGTGGTGCAAAAGAAACTGCCGATGGGTATCAGCTCTCATTTATCAGAAACGAGCGATGCTAACGGCATTATTTTTTTTAGGTTTTGTTCGCATATTTGTTTGCTATTTATTTTGACATTTGAATTTTTTGGTTGTTGTTTATTTTATTTAAAAATGCTTATATTTTTTATTTAGATCTTGGTGGAGCAAATGTTTGTGCTACGGGCAGCATTGCTGTTTAACTTCAAAATTGGAAAATCTGCTGCCGAATCGCATCGTTCTCTCTGTTCTGCTTTTAGAGATGGCAGTTTGTCTCTCAGGCAGTGTCAGACTTGGTTTCAACGATTCCGAGAGGGAGACGAGACTTTGGAAGATTACGAGCACGGTGTGAGGCCAGAAGTCGTGAACGAAGCCAAGCTGAGGGACGAAGCCAAGCTGAGGGACGAAGCCAAGCTGAGGGACGAAGCCAAGCTGAGGGACGAAGCCAAGCTGAGGGACGAAGCCAAGCTGAGGGACGAAGCCAAGCTGAGGGACGAAGCCAAGCTGAGGGACGAAGCCAAGCTGAGGGACGAAGCCAAGCTGAGGGACGAAGCCAAGCTGAGGGACGAAGCCAAGCTGAGGGACGAAGCCAAGCTGAGGGACGAAGCCAAGCTGAGGGACGAAGCCAAGCTGAGGGACGAAGCCAAGCTGAGGGACGAAGCCAAGCTGAGGGACGAAGCCAAGCTGAGGGACGAAGCCAAGCTGAGGGACGAAGCCAAGCTGAGGGACGAAGCCAAGCTGAGGGACGAAGCCAAGCTGAGGGACGAAGCCAAGCTGAGGGACGAAGCCAAGCTGAGGGACGAAGCCAAGCTGAGGGACGAAGCCAAGCTGAGGGACGTTGTTCAGGCCGATCCATGCCAATCTGCTCGAGATCTTGCGAAAATATTCCATTGTGATCATGTCACCATCGAACGCCATCTTTTTTTTGAATTTATCGTCAAATCCGGCAGTTTCTTTTGCACCACCCTAATAGATTCTCTAAATTATAGATCTACTGCAGCTATCGTAATCTTGTCTTTAGATTTAGTCTCTAATTGCTAGCAAGAACAGAGTCAACTCTAGAAAATTCACCATCATCCATTGGCATTGAGATGAAAGCAAAAACAACAACTTGTTTCTTATCGAGATCATCGTGTGTACAATTATTTTCGAATTTCTCCGTTTGATTCAAAAGACTCAAGATGTCAATGTCATTTAGACCCCTGAAAATTCGTGAATTTCAAAGCTCACAAACATCTAACCAATTCCACGAATCATAATAAGAATACAAAGGTTTTCCATGGTGATCTCTTGGGAATATCGACATGTTTCGAACCTCATCAAAAGTATAGTACAAATTACAGTCATCTTTGTTGAAATCGTATCCCAAACCTCTTAGAAACATCACTTGACTAAATGAGAAAAAGATTTTCCTTTAACAAGATTTTCCTTTTCCATTTTCCCAACCTGAATGTCACATTCGAGACTGCTTCTCCAGAATCATGTGCATCTTGTAATTCTTTCAAATCTTTATCCGCACATGTGTCAAACATCGGTTCCATTAGCATCAAATTCCTTAGCGCTTCCTCTTCACTGTCTCGATCAAGAATAACCATCACGTAAACGTTGAATTTTGTTTTGCATGTTGGCTGATAGTTTGAGAGAGCGACTGAAAGGGAAAGTGATTGGGAAAGGTCGGATTTGAACAACTATAAGACTAACACCAAGTTAGTCACCCATTAACTTGTTACAAGTAACAATTTCAAATTTTCCTACTAGCCTTCTTGAGTTACCGGATTCTCCCTATTAGTATTGCGCCATACTATTCTTTCAATACCCCTCCGAGACCGCAATACTATTAGGGAGATTACAATAAATGTAACATTATTATTATTATCATCAAGATCTTGCAATTTACGACTCACGATCAACGCATTTCCTCCTTTCTTCGATTGTCTTATCACTGGCAGTATTGTTAGCAGCCAAAAGATTTTCGACAAAACAAAGCAATAACAAAATTAGCCGAAATGGAATTCTTTTCATTAATTTTGGATAGTTTAATTTGAAATGAGAAAATCTTAAAGAAAATCTTTTAAAAAGAGTCAAGTTGGGGTATTTTTTTTTACATTTGTTTAGCCGAACGTAGTCGGGAATTAAAGGAGATCAAGATAACAAAAAAGGAAAACGGGCGGTTTTTGGAGAATGTTGAATTGTTTGGGACAAAAAACGCCCACACATTGTATTTTTGAAGATTATTGAATGTAGAAGTGTAAAGTTTGTCAATTGATTACCGATGCAAGAGTAAAAGTCTGTTCTCATTGTCATTTTTGTAATATGATTCTCTAATATCTCTAAGATGAGGGTTACTCGAAGAGATTTATCTAATGTTTAACTGTAGAAATAAAGTAATATAAAGTAATCCATCACAAACCAATGGAAGCGATTTACTATTGGAAGTACTCTGATATGTCTAAATCACGATTTGTTACTCGGAAGAGGAAAGCATTACACGATTTCAGGCAAATCTTTGTTTGAAATGCCTCTCTAATATGAGGGTTACTGGTTATGAAAACTGGAAAAGACTGGAAAAGAAATCTAGTTGAAAAATCTCTCATTACAAAGGAAACTATGGCCCCGGGCTTCGATCTATTTCATCTGAGAACGTTAATGATTAACAAGTAGATGCCCTTGCAAGTATTTTTGACGACCATCTAAATCTCAGCGATAATGACGACTATATAGAAGGATAAAACCTTTCATTTATCAAGTTGTTTTTGTTGTTATACTCTTTGTTATCTTTTTTGTGGTGCGCTATTTCGTTAAAACTTCTAGCTTCTGGTGATTAAATTTCTTTCATTAGACTAGACTAGTACAGTCCAGGTCAGGTTCAGGGTTAATTTAGGTGAAGGCTCGTTTGACGGACTCAGAGACCCTTTGCAGGCAAAGCCTAGCCTGGAAAATTGCTTTTGCTTTTGCTATTACTATTGCTTTTGCTATTGCTTTTGCTTTTGCTTTTGGACAAATCTTTTCTTGAGTTTTCTTAGATTTCATCTTATAATAATAAGATCTTAATTTAGGTGGAGGCTCGTTTCACACGAGTTTTTAAACGATTTCACGCAAATCTTTGTTTGAAATGCCTCTCTAATATGAGGATTAATGATGAAAACTGGAAAAGAAATCTAGTTGAAAAATTTCTCATTACAAAGGAAACTATGGTATTTCATCTGAGGACGTTGATGATTAACAAGTAGATGCCCTTGCAAGTATTTTAGTAGTATTTTAGTATAGTACACGACCATCTAAATCTCAGCGATAATGACGACGATATAGAAGGATAAAACTTTTGATTTATCAAGTTGTTTTTGTTGTTATACTCTTTGTTATCTTTTTGTGGAAATGAGTTACAAAGAACGGTTTCTAACTCTTCATATCAATAAAATGAATGACATTGAACGGATATAAAACATTGAATGACATTGAACGGATATTTTTTTAATTCCCAAAGTCTGTTTGTGTTTTCTTTTCTATTGCAAGACTTAAAAAGTGATTTCTTCAAGTCAGATATGAAACATTCACTTTATTCATTTCCATTTGGCGAAAACTTTCTCTTTTTGATGTAAAACTTTGCAAAGAATCCATTTCTGTTCGAAAGCCAACATTCTTTTGATAAATAATTTTCACAATTAAAGTTAAACCAATGCACCTGAATGTCAAAGGATTATTGTTATTGAAATAAATCAATTTGGCTCTTTCTTCTTATCTCTTTCAATCATAACAAACCGCTACTGAGCCGACATTTGTGTAATTGAGATTTCGTTGAGATTCAGTGATGTTTCTAGCAAAAATCCTAAATATCTTTCAGTTATAAGTGAAGGTTTTATAAGAACGTTTTCCGGGCCACTTCCACATTTCTAGTATCAAGAAAATACAATAATAAAGCACCGTCAGGCAAAGAAATCTCAACATCGATATCGATTGGAACACCTGGAAACAATTTTAAATCACAAAAATTTTGCAACCCTACCGCAGTAAAACTTTTGCGTCACATTGTATGCTCCGTACGGTTGACCGTCTGTGTCATCGAAATAAGCGCTCGTCAAAAATGTTTCCCCATCGCAAACTTGTTTAGCGACACTGTTGTAAACTATAAAGCTTCTCTTTGTTTTTCAATATACCGTAAGTAATGTAATTGAAGGGCATACCCTTCTATTTTTTTCCTATCCCTTCTAGAGCGCTTATTTTAAAGCCTTTTTCCTATCCCCTCTAGAGCCTATTAGATCTGCTCTTCTAATTTTCACCTATCATTGTAAATCTTTAGGTTACCGAAATCAGATCTACTAAATAGATAGGTAATTCAATGTAAAAGGCTTCATTTTCTATTTAATTTTATTCTAATAACAAGGATTTAAAGAAATCAATAAAAAGTTAACCATAAAAGAAAAAGTAACAAACAAAAATTGGACATCAAAATTGATCGAAAAAATCAGAATCAATAAATGACCATCATTTATTGATTCTGATTAATCAATGATCATTTATTGATCATTTATTGATCATTTATTGATCATTTATTGATCATTTATTGATCAATGATCATTTCTTCTTCCTATTCATTTCTTTTTCGTAAATCCTGAAATCCTGCCGATTCGAGGAATCCAAAAAGATCGTCGATTTCTTTTTCCATGCGAGCGTTCTTCAGAAATTATAATCCCATAGAAATCGGACGATCCGGTTTGAAACAGTGGATCAAGTGGTCCTCATCTCCGTTTGAGGCAATGCCGATTCCGCACTTTTTAAAAGATTTTCGAATCGTTTCTTCGATGATCCGCTTCAGAAAATCGACTCGTGGCTTCACTCCAGATGATTTGCTGAGTCACGCGTTTTTTAGGCTCTTTTCTCATGAATCCACAACGCCAATGCCTCATCGATTTCAGTTAAAGCTAAGCGGCGAGCACGGTCAATTCGTTTTCTTTTTTCATGAAGCTTCTCGAGATCATTTGCTTTTTCGATCTATCGTTGAACACAAGAGCGATTAATCTTGAAAAACTTGGCAGTCGATTGAATAGAAGTCGAACGAGCCAGCTTCACAACGTCAAGTTTTGCCTTCACGTCGACCGCTTTTTGATTTTGATTTTGCTTCTTCCGCTTCTCCAACTCTGTGCTTGCATTTGAATTCGCATCCGCATCACTTCCATCATCTTTTGCATTCAATTCTCCATCGAATTCCTCATCTTGATTCCATGCAGGCTGAAATTGCCTTCAATCGCGAAACTCTTCGAATCCGTCGTTGAGAATGCCCATTCTACCTGAAAAAAAAACAATTGGAAACGTATTAAGAAATTGTAAAACATTGAAAAATTCAATATTTTACAATTTCTCAATGAAAATGCATGTAAGAAAAAAATATGGACATGAATTTGTGGCTCTACTTAAATTCAGGAATTTCGTTTCGGCAATTTTAACAATAATTTTACTAATGCTATCGTTAAGCGCTTTTTCTAAAACTTGTGTTTTTCAGTGCTCATTTTATTTTAAATTTATTTTAACGTCACCGTTTCAACCTAAAGACATGGATGAGTTCTCGAAAAATGCGCTCTCTTTTAAGCTATCTGATGGTAGTTTTAGGTTGAAAATTGGTGCAGCCATTTTTAAGAAATGTCGGAAAGATGAGTGGAGCGTAGCATAACGTAGTCGTCGGCTAGATAACGCTCCGTTTCATTCACTCTTTAATAGAGTAAATTACTGAATAAATTCTAAACACCGACATTAACGCCGGTTTAATTACGCAAGTTTGAGGTGTGCCACCGCAAGATGATCAACCGCAATGTAATTGATCCTACGGTCAGCGTAAATCCCAGAGCTAGACTACAGTATTACTCATTGGCATCTTCGGTAATCATACTGTTCCTGTATAAAAAATAGCAGCACCGGGGATCGAACTGTTGAAGCTGTGTTGTACTTGCTTAATTGTTTCTTCTTTCTTCGCTAATAAAGCTACTCGAGTGACTATGGCCGGTATTCTTCTTCGTCAATCAAAAAATTGAGGTTTTTGGGACACTATTGCAAAGGCCGATGAAAAATGGATTTACTACGATAACTCATCGCGAAAACAGCAGTGGTTAAGTCCAGGAGAACAGCCAAAAAACGACACCACAACGTGATGGAAGAAAGGCTATGTTCTTCTGTCGAATCTTTAGGAGCATTGTTATTAGTATCATACAGTCATGGACAAAAGTCTTGGTGGGTCCTGGGTGGCAACTTTCAAACCCAAATTAGGAACCTTCCCGAGAGGCTATAAAAAAGTTGTCACAAGTATTTTTGAGCATTTTTACTCTACTTTTAGTTATGACCAAGCATTGAACTCGAAAGTTGATTTTAAACAACAAAAATAAGCGTCAAAGACAAAAAGGTCACAAAAACAATGGACAAAAGTCTTGGCGGCACAGACATAGAGGCGAAAAATTCAATATTTTGTGGGTCCGCCTTTAGCTGCAATGACCGCTTGGAGCCTCCGGGGCATACTGTCAACTAGATCGCGTAAAATTTGTCGCCCAAACTCGCCGTACAAAGTACCAAAGATCCGCCTTAGAGCTAAACCGTCTTCCCGTGAGTTTCG